CATCATCTAAGACTGTGGTCATTGCAGTAGATTTGGGTTCTCGATCGACCCCTAATGATTTGGCCTTTTCGATCACCCGAGCCTACACCACATAAAGTATTCAAATATTAAGTCAACAATATTATTATAAGCATATTCAAGAAAAAAATTTCAATTAGTCAAAAGCATAACACTTACACAATACTCTTGAGTTTGGGTGTCGGGATATGTACATGAATATGTATCAGCTCCTGGATCGACTAAAGTCGCATGGGTACCTAAATACTCCTTTAATGCACGTGAACTGCCACCCGATTCTTCGATCCGAGCTCTCTGTAATTCACCAAAACATAAATTTGTATAAGATATCATATCATAAATTAATAAATGCATTTTTAAAACTCTTAAGATTAATTTTACCACTCTCTCTTTTGCCCGAACCATACTCCTCGAGCCACCCGTATAGGTTGCTCGACCTCGCTTCTTTGACTCCCGATTATCTTTATTTCTTTTTGCCTCCGCTTGGACAAAAATGTAAGATTTAGATTGTGATCCAAAAATAAGCACATGCCAATCATTGAATTATTTGTTAACCATATACCTGCTTCCTATTAGAAGAAAATAACTTGCAGAGGTCGTCCCACCATCTTTTATCGATCCCTTCGAACACCTCTGTCTTGAAAAGATCATATCTTTTCTCTTGGGGAGTCTCCAGCCAGAGTTCCTAACACTCCTTCTTTACCTGATTTCGATTGCCTCGGACTCTCTCCTGCATCTTTATCTTCACGCCTCGATGTATAGCAGGAATATTAAGAGGACAATAAGGATCTACAGGCAAAAACTCATAATCTTTCTGCATATTTAACAAAAAAATACATTAAACACTTTACGTGAATATTGAATAAGATCTTGCTAGTTTTGCAATGACAGAAATAGATTAAAATTGTATTCAAACCTTGGCTTGGAGAAAAAACTTATCAAACGAACGCTCATGATCCGGGCCCCAGTTCTTATAAAGTGGGAAGTCCATGTATTAGCGGCTCTTTTGCCCCACATACTGTCCAAATCTCTCAGCATTAGGGCCCGTAACACGGAAGTACTCATCAAAGTGCAAGGGGAATGCTGGTTCATTCTTCTCAGGATCGGGCATTAATCGATTGGCTTTATTTGAAGATCGAACCTTCTTGGACGTCTGTGGCAAACCTGCATCAAAGTTTTGAAGTTGTATAATGCATGTTATAAAGTTGTGCGTAGGATGGAGAAATTGGAGAGCTCAATTGGTTACAGAAAGCTCTTTGTGTTGTGATTCAGATATGTAGCTAAAGAAAAAACCTGTTGTGATTTTGCATATTTATGATCATGAAAGTAGGTAATTACTGATGAGATGTCTGGCTAAAGAAAAAACCTGTTGTTCAACTTTAATAGATCTTTTGTCTCCTAATATTTTCGGACCTCAAACGAATACAGTCAGGTTTCATCACTGTGTTTTCATCTTATTTTTCTTGTGGAATGTTGGCACTAAATATTCAAAAGAGCTTATATTTTCCAATCCAGGGCAGAGTCACTTAAGTTGTGCATTTCGTGCTCTGGTATGGTTTATTTAATAATATACTATTATAACTTTGCCTTTCTTTAAATTTCTCGTTTGCTAGAACAAGAGCTCTCTGACCTTCAGTTGGGAGGATTAAGATAGAAGGAAATAGGAATCATATGTTAATTTCACAAGTTGTGAGGCAACATCAAAGGGGACTTTTTCTGTAAAATCGGCATACGATGTGTCTCTCCCAATGAAAATTTATGATGCTCCTTGATCATATTATATTAAACATATTCGAGTATATTAAACATATTCAAGTCATAAATCTGTTCAAGGACCAAAAATCTCAGGTTTTATACTGAGAAGGAGTATATTAAACATATTCGAGTCATTAAACATATTCTCAGTCGTTTAGCAGCACGATTAGGATGATAGTTTCTCAAGTGTAGAGGACGAGCTATTGATGTGGATGCAGAGGCATCCCCTCCAACTAGACAATAAAAGAATATTATGTAAGTATTGTTTAATAAAATAATATGCAATATAATATCAATACATTAAATGATACTAACCCGTCGAGTGTCCAGATGGTATAGAGTGCGTAGGGATGGTCTGCAAATCAGCCTCGCCCACATCTGATAAATGTGTAATCATATCAAGAAATCAATAATAGTGCAAAATAAAATCAAAATTAAAATTTACAAACCTGTAAGGGGGGTCTGTAAATGATCATCGGCCATGGATGTAGATGCTATAATACTAGGGGTAGATGCTGGAAAGCTAGGGATAGATGCAGACTGACGAGCGCCCTCTAGCTCCTTCCGACGCTCCCTTGCCTGTTGTGAAAGCTTATTAGGTGGCACCCGTCTAGTCCTAGACTTTGATGGCCCTCTACCAGACATCGTCTTCATCATCAGAATCTGTCTCAGCATTGTCCTCTATGTCAACATCCACAAATTGTGGGACATCGTAAGTATTCCTAGGCTTCCATCGGCAAACAACACTCCATCCAGGATGTTTCAAACACTTTGAGTAGTATACTTGAAATGCTTGTTCCGGGAATATATACGGTTCATCTTCAAACTCAAAAAGATTAGTGTTTACACTAGTCAATCCATATTCATCTTTCCAAGTCCCATATGTTTCTCTCCACTTTCCATGTCCAGTTCTTGTATGATACCAAACACACTTGAATAAATAAATTAGTTTTGCTCTTCCGGGATAGCGAATACCGAGTATTCTATCTAAATACCCATAGTAAATTATTCCTTCAGTGCCAATAGCCGCAATTCCACTATTCTGGGTGGTCCGAGATTCTTCTCTCTCCTTGATTTCAAACTTGTACCCGCTTACACCAAATCCATTGTAGTATGCAACCTCTCGGCTCGGATATTCAGATAGACATCTCAAATCCTTATCCAATGTTAATTCTACATTTGGATCTTGGACCTGACAAAACAGTTTGTGTGGTAATTATATAAAGATACAAGTTTAGATTAAGATAATGACACATAAATATTGACAAAGAAAATCTTACATAATTTATAAACCAGCTACAAAAATTATCATGATGATGTTTTTCCAATCGTTCAACATTCCAATTAGGATGCTCTTCACGTAATTCATCCTTGTGAATTCTGTTCTCAACATGAATTGTTATAACATTAACATCATATTATTTTATATATACATACATACTAGTATTCATCCCGTGCTAAGCACGGTATCTTTACCCATTATTTTTGTGCGTAATCTTAAACATACTTGATATGAGCATTGAGAATATTTGATGTCTTATATGAAATCAATGGTAAATGCATTTTTTTTTGTTCATTTCTATAAGCTAGACTAAGATCAACAAAATACACAAATAGAGAACATTTATACAGTTAATATGAATCCAGTTCTTGTATGATACCAAACACACTTGAATAAATAAATTAGTTTTGCTCTTCCGGGATAGCGAATACCGAGTATTCTATCTAAATACCCATAGTAAATTATTCCTTCAGTGCCAATAGCCGCAATTCCACTATTCTGGGTGGTCCGAGATTCTTCTCTCTCCTTGATTTCAAACTTGTACCCGCTTACACCAAATCCATTGTAGTATGCAACCTCTCGGCTCGGATATTCAGATAGACATCTCAAATCCTTATCCAATGTTAATTCTACATTTGGATCTTGGACCTGACAAAACAGTTTGTGTGGTAATTATATAAAGATACAAGTTTAGATTAAGATAATGACACATAAATATTGACAAAGAAAATCTTACATAATTTATAAACCAGCTACAAAATTATCATGATGATGTTTTTCCAATCGTTCAACATTCCAATTAGGATGCTCTTCACGTAATTCATCCTTGTGAATTCTGTTCTCAACATGAATTGTTATAACATTAACATCATATTATTTTATATATACATACATATAACAATTAATATAAAACATACTTACTCTCTAACTTCCTCGAGGCATATGCTATTGAGGAGGATAAAGCTATGTATATCATTAATAAATGTGAGTCCCATTTTTGTGTAAGTTGGTTTGCCATATTTTCCGTCATGAATACTCACAGGTCTATTGAGCTTTGTCTCTATATTTTCGTCCAAATAACGGGAACAAAATGTTGTTACTTCCTCCAAGAGATAACCTTCCATAATAGAACCCTCTGGCCGATTTCTATTTCGTATATAATTTTTTAGAGTCAAAAGGTACCTACAAAAACTCACATTAAATTACTAAACACAATAATGTAGAAGATAAAAATTATATCTATTGCATCAAATGGAAATTTAAAGTTACCTTTCTATAGGATACATCCACCTATATTGTACCGGTCCTGCAAGTCTAGCCTCTTTTGCAAGATGAACAATCAAGTGGATTATGATATCAAAGAACGACGGTGGAAAAATCCTCTCAAGCTTGCACAATATCAAAGGTATCGCTTTCTCTAGCTTTTCTAGCTCCTTGTCATCGACATTTTTAGCACACAATTCTCTAAAGAAGGTGCAAAGTTCATTGATCACTAAACCAACGGAATCTGGAAGAGAAGTCCTTAGGGATAGTGGGAGAAGGTGTTGCATAATAACATGGTGATCATGACTCTTCAACCCATCGATCTTGCCTTTCACAGTCTTTATCTTCTTATTAAATGATCCTGAAAAGCCTGTGGGAACCTTCAGCTCATGTAATACCTCTAAAAACATTTTTTTTCTGATTTTGACATATGATACACGACATTGGGGAGTACAAATTTGCCCGGATTACCAGCTTTAGGTACAGGATGCAATTCTTTTCTAATGTTGAAGTGCTGCAAATCTCTCCGAGCTTGGAGGTTGTCATTTGATTTTCCATCTTTACAAAGAAGCAAGTTAAGTATGTGCTCAGATACTCCCTTCTCAATGTGCATCACGTCCAGATTGTGACGCACGGTATTTGTCTCCCAATAGGGCAATTCAAAGAAAATACTTTTTTTGTTCTATCCTTGTGGTCTTTCCTGTCTTTCCTTTACTTTTCCGAAAGTTATATTTCCGTAAACATTCCACTGAGCAAGTATGTCCTTTCCGGATAGGGGGACTGGAGCTGTTCTATGCTCTGTAGTACCATCAAAGTGAACAGCATCATACCTATAAGGATGATCTTCTTCCAACATACGTCGATGACCGCAATAACAGATTTTTTTGCTAAAGGGCAACCATGTCGATGATGTATCGGCATGGCAGTAAGGACATGCTTTATAACCGTGTACAGAATAACCTGATAGCATTCCATATGCAGGAAAGTCATTAATTGTCCACATTAAGGCCGCACGCATTGTGAATGTCTCCCCTTTGTCTGCATCATATGTCTCTACACCATCAACGAATAAAGACTGTAACTCATCGATGAGAGGTCGAAGGTAGACGTCGATATTGTTGCCCGGTGAACTCGGCCCATCAATAAGAAGAGGCATCAGAAAGTATGATTGATCCATCGCTAACCACGGTGAAAGATTATATATCATCATTATAACAGGCCATGTACTGTGCGGATTGCCATTAAAACTAAAAGGGCAAAAACCATCGCTAGCTAATCCAAGCCTAATATTACGGGGATCTTGACTAAATATTGTGTGCAACTTGTCGAAATCCTTCCATGCTGGCGAATCTCTTGGATGACTCATTTTACCATGTTCACTTGGAATAGCACGGTCATGCCAAGTCATTGCCACCGCTGTCTTCTTACACCTGTAGAGCCTCTGCAGCCTCTGTGTCACAGGAAAGTATCGTACCACCTTGACTGGTATGTCATTCTTGTTAGCATGTGCTTTCTTCTTATATCTAGAAACTCCACAGTTAGGGCACTCTTTCAGTTTAGAATTTTCTTTCCAGAACAGTACACAATCATTAGGACATGCATGAATCTTCTCACAATTCAAACCCAGATCTGACATTATCCTTTTAGCTTCATACCAGCTCTGAGGCACATTGTTCCCCAGAGGCATAGAATCTTTCAGGAATTTTAGAAGCATCGTAAATGACTTGTTGCTCCATTTATTTAGGCATTCAATCTGGAAAAGTTGAACGAACCATGATAGTGTGGAATATTTTGCATTCTCATAAATTGGTCTTTTGGCATCTTTCATGTACTTCTCATACTCATCTACATGTTCTTGTCCGGAAGGATGATCATCTTCAGCAAGATTGGAGTCACCAAAAGCAACTTCTATCATTTCCTCCATCTCCTCTTCTGGAAATAAATTTTCTTCATTGTCTTCTTCTTCATTATCGGCAATATTAGGAGCTACGATTTCTCCGTGATATACCCAAATTGTATAATCCTTAATAAAACCATGCTTAACAATGTGAAGTTCTACATCTTCCTCCTTACGATGCAGCCTATTCCCACAATGACTGCACGGACAAAGAATCATCCCATATTGGATCCTATCGTGTTCACGCACAAAATTTATGAAAGAGGCAACTCCTTCAATGAATTCAGGCTTTGTGCGTTTTTCACGATTCACATACATCCAATCCTTAACTCTGATATAGTCACGTGCCATACCAACCTAAATTAGTCAAAGTTAGCGATAAAATTTCTTAGAAAGTAAATTCAGCACATTAAAAATGTGACACGATCAAAATAAAGATAAACAAGTTTCAAAAAAGTAAATTGTACAATTTAGCTTAGCAAGACTTTGCAAAGCACAAAGACCAGGTTAATTTAATTTACAATGGATTGCAACCGGTAAATATCATTCATAAAATGCAATACCAATTCATAATGACTAAATTTAGCTTAATATCAACTCTTGACATCACATCACAAAATTATAATTCAATGTAAAAAAGATCCTTAAGCAGAGTACCATGTCAATTATGAACAACCATGCAGATACATAAATAGAAGGTTGTGGCATCAATTTTTTGAGAAGAAAAAATATAAAACTGACAATTCTTCACACTACAACTAAGTAATAAGCATACTAAGTAGAGATGTCCTTGTTTAGCTCAAGAAACATGAAGAATGTCAGATAGGGATATGCAAAGTTCTTGGAATAGAAATTTACAATAATATATATCTAAAATAATAAACATAAAAGATGTCCCATGGACTGAGAGTTACTGTCCATGGGAAATGCAAAGTTCTATTAAATTGAAGCAATAAAAAAAGAGATTCAAAAAAAAACAATGGATAAACTAAAGACCTTTTGTTGAAAAAACAGTGGATAAAAAAAGTGTTACTGTCTTTTTAATTTTTCAAGCTTTGGGAAGAAAACACAGTGAGCCAAACCAATCACAGGTTAAACATGAAACAAGAATCAAATTTCCAAATTCCCCAAATTGTTGCTCTCATGAAACAACTCTTAGGTTAAACATGACCTGAAAGAATCAGTCAACATTAAACAAAGATGAAACAAAAATATTTCACCTCAGCAAGAACTGCAAGTTCAAATTGACATCACCACATGCACAAGAGGTCACAAAAAAGCTGCGCATGCATAATAAACTGTTAAAAATAAACATAACCAGAATCCGTGTATCATAACAATCACCAACCAAATGTATCTCATACAGCCTAAACACTTAGAAACAATTACTACATAGTATCCCCTTTTCACCCATCCTCAACCAAAGCATAATAATTTATTTCAGATTGCCCCCCACCATGAAACTTTTATAACAAGACAACCAGACTTGTAAAGTAGAACCAAAGGCAAAGAGCTCCCAATCTTGCAAATTTTAAAAATGTTTTATGAATTATTTTCTCTTCTATATCACACTAAGACCATTGATCCTCAAGTAAAATGCAAACTTTGAATCTTCAGTCAAACTATACCATGCCAATTGGGACCATATAGAAGATATTAGCTTAAAATAAACAAGGCTAGCATTTGAAAATATTACCCGACGGAAGCAGCGGTAAACTGAGGATTTGGGGCGAAAATGAGGAAGAACTCCGATTTAGGGTTTTTTGATGGGATTCGACGGTAAACTGGAGGATCGACGTCGGTGGTGAACTTCAGGGCTCGATGGCGGCGGAGAACTCTGACTGAGGCGGCGAACTCTGACGGAAGCAATGAGTTCAAAAAACCCTA